GGGCGCACCATGTGCGGTAAGCACGGCACCGGGCTGGGCTGGGCCGCGCCGGCCGGGCCCCCTGAGCCCGCTGTGAGCCCGCGGTGCGGCCCCGGCCGGGCGGGGAAGGAGGGCGCCTGCCGCTGCCGCCTGTAGCGAGAGGCGCCCCGGCCCCGTTATCCCGACTGCCGGCGGCCCGGGGAGGCGGCTCGCACCGCGTTAGTGTGTTACAGGGCGAATTGTCCCCAAATCGTAAGCGGATGTGGCGGGAGCGGACAAAGGGCCGGTGGTCCGTGCTGTGCGGGCGGTTTGCGCCCTGTGCCCGCGGGCTCGGCTCGGTGCTGCCGGGGAAGCCCAGCCCGGGCCCGGGAATTCCCGCTGTGCTTCCCGCAAGCCCCGGTGACCCGGCGCAGGCGGGGCCCTGTGGGAAGGGGCGCTCCGGTGGCGTTTCCAGACGTGGCTCTGGTCCTGTCGGGAGTCCCCTCTCCCACTCTGGGTGCGAAGTGGTGGTGGTGTTTTTTTTTTAGGCGTTACAACTTCTGATGATTATTTTTCGTGGGTGGGTTCGGTTTGGCCCGGTGTGGGCTTGAGGACGGACTGGGCCGTGGGTTCGGCCTGGCCGGGCTGGGCTGTGCCGGGAATGAGCCCTGAGCTCGGCCCGGCGGGGCTTCTCCTCCTCTTCCCCTGGCAATACAGCACGCTACTTCATCCTTTAGACACAGGAATAGGATTTATCCTTCCTCTTCCTATCCCGTCATCTTCGTGTTTTTCCATGGAAATTTATGCAACAGCGTTCTGTTGGATTTTCCTATTTTCCTTCCACGCTTCTTTTGGGTTTTTTTCTGTATTTTTGTGTGCAAAATTATGCTCTAAGCAAAACTGTGGGTTTTACACTTAAGGCACAAGTTGCCATTTCTTTCATTGTTTTTGTGGGGTTGAACCGGAATTGCCTTCAAGCTGTCAAGTTGTGGAATGCTGTGGAGAATCAATCGGAAACTCATAGCTCACATTTAACATTGTGTTAATTTGTGTTAGAAGTACAAAGCAGAGCAACGCTAAGAACAGGAGGGATAATTATTATTACTAGAAATAGCTTACTGCAGGAATAGGGATGATTGTGGTGTCTTGTGCTTGCCTTATCTGAGGTATGGCCTTTGAAATGTGTGATTTTAACATTCTGCCTTTTGGCTATCACAAGCCCTTGAAAACCCTGAGGGCTGTTACTTAGTTGTGTTCAAGATTTAAGGTGTTTCTCTCCTATTTGATACAAGTGAAGTTCTTCTTCGATATTGAAACATTTTATGAAAAGACTGAGGAAAATATTAGGGTTTAGCCTCTGTTTTTGAGTCTTGCTCTGGGAGTCGGGCCTGTATCACATAGTGAGAGTGAGTTGTCTCTGCTCCCCGAAGGGRTGGTTTGTCTGGAGCAGAGATTTCCCAGCCTGTGGCAGCTGTGTGAGAGCCCTCAGACAACAACATTTCTGTGATGGAGTTGTGAGTGGGGACATACATTGCTTTATCTTGCTACGCTGCCTGGTTGGAAGCCATCCACGTTCAGAGTTTTATCCAATTCATCTCACACAAAAAGGTAGTTAKTAAGATGAGTTTTAAAAGAAATAAATTTGACAATGCTGCTATTGTTATCTGAATTCTTAGATACCTCACTTTGTTACACTGAAGGGAGGGTTTCAGTTCACTTCATCAACAGCTTCCAGACGGGAATTTCCAACATAGTGTTTGCAGCCTGATGTTCAGGTTTGTGATCTTAGAAAATCCCATGATCTGATGGGCTTGTACTGCTGGACAGGTAAAGGAAAGAAGTCTCAAAGTACAGACCCTTGGTGCCTTCTATGAATACTGTGCTGGGTTTTGTTTGTAATAGTATTGGTGAAAAATAGGGTTTGTCCTTGGAGTGTATTAGAAACTTGCAGTTTGAAYTCCTGGCTAGGTGTAAGTTGGGTGTGCTTTGGTCTGAATGCACCAAACCAATTSAATGGCATCTATGAAATAGTTCAGAAAACAGGTTTTTCAAGGTAGCCAGGCTCAATAGRCTGTTCTGTAAATCAGTAAACCTGTCATGTGCCATGACTGATTTTAATGACAAAAAGGAATTGTGGAATTTAGGTCTTATTTTACTAGTAGTTATTGAAGATGAAAATGGGCTTAGGAAAGACTTGAGGAAACTTTGGGGATATGTGTACATCAGTGGGGACATTCAGCCCCCCCACATCTGTTACACCTGGGTGTACCTGGTGTCTGCCTTGGAGTGAAGCGTGGGGTAGCAGCTCTGGCCCAAAATGAGTCCCTAGAATTGCTGCTCTGGTTGTTTACTCTCAACAGGAGAAATCCTGCCCATTTTAGCTGGAGAGGGAGTTGTGTGCGTGGGCAGGAAGTGTCCAGTGGACAAACGTGGATCTCCATGGAGTGGATGTTTTTTTGCTTTGCGTTTTCTGAGTCTGGAGGTGAGGAATTGTGTGTTAGCTCTCCCCTGTGCAACTCCTAGACACAACAATGACAGTGAGCTTGTGCCTGACCTTGTGCTCCTCAGGCTCTGCAGGAATGGGGATGTTTTGGGATGTGGGRTTGGCACCTCCCTGAACTGCTGGGCAGCAGCAACAGGAGCTGCACTCCAGTGGTGCGGAGCATCTCTTCTAAGACAAAGGATTCTTTGGCATTATTGTACTGATTTTGTACATATTGTACTGATATTGTACTGATAACATGGTCTATGGAAATGAGTTAACAGTAATAGGGTAAAGGAATTTGTAAGTAAAGCCAGCCTGAAGGMTTTTCTGTGTTTTTTAGGAAAGGGATTTGGAGAAGCAATTCCTGAGTGACTTCATGTATCTGGAGAAGATAATTTACCTGGAAGTGGTTATTTCATTTGCCTGTGAATGTCCCATGAAATAAAGGAACCTGAACTCCCAAAAAGTTCACAGGAAAATAAAGTTCTCAGAACTGTGACTGTCAGCTTTAGAAATCATGAATGTCCATTTGTTGAAAATGCTATTCTGTTAAAAGTACCAACTCTTAATAGGGAATTCTTTAGGTTGTTTGTGGTAAGAGGGCCTGGGATTTGTGCTTGAATATTAAAAATCAGCTCTAAGAGAGATYTGAGTGTCACAAGCAGCTGAATATCTGTTCTGGTGGTTCCCTTGGTAAGRTATTTAAGGCAAACCTGCAAGAAATGAAATGGTTTATGTTCTACATTATATTGTTCAATATAATTATATTGTTCAAGGGATTTCACTTAAGAGAAATATATACAGAACTTATTACTGTGGATCTTGGCATGATTTCAAGTAAGCTGACATGCTTTGAATTGGTCTTTTCAGTCCACATGTGCAAAGTCCTGTGTCAGGTTAGTAGTTGAAATATTTTATGTTGTCAAGTGTGACTGCTGTTCTAATTCTGAAGTGTGTTGGTGTCAAGCCCAGACAGGAGGGTTGTGTTTTCTGAGGCTGTCAGGTAGGAATTCCTGTAGTATCCTTACTTCTCTCATCTCGTGGCTGGGAATTCACAATTATAAACAGTGCTGGATGAGAAAAAAGCTCACAGGGTTGTTTTTTTTTCTTTCACCTCGAAAAATGCCAGCTCAGGGTTCGTCAAGGTGGAGTGATTAAATATCATTAKATATCCTGGTTTGCTGCAATACTTCCTCTTGCTGGTTTGTTCTGCAGTGTTACAGAGGGCAGGTGTGACGYTATTGCTGAAAGCACTGGCATGGAAGGGGATCTAAATATGTTATGGAAATGAAAACTCCTTTTTTTGGGTCTGCTGGGGTCCTGAAATTCATGGTGGGCTGGTTTGGGGAGTGTTCTGCTCAGACTTCAAAGTTTGTAGGTATTCAACACCTGGCTTCCAGGCTGGTCATGCACCATTTGAGACCCTGATGGAACTCCTTGRATTTGCCTTGGAATTCCATCCAAACCGACATGTTTCTGTTGAATGATTTCAATGAGCTGTCACTTTGATGGAGAAATTAGCACTTCTGAGAGGGCTCCTGACCAAACTGTGCACTTGATTTTCTTTTGTGTCTCACCTTGTGTCGATTGATTTGAATAAGAGGTCGGGAAGGAGAGAACAAGGCTTGAACAGGGCATTGGGGCTTGGAGGAAAACATGCCTCTGGTGTGTAAAAAAAGATCTTTTCCAGGCTGAGCTGTAGCATTGGTGTTCTGCGTGCCGCCTCAGCTGTATTTTGTACCTGCATGAAGGGACCCTTTGTTCACTTTGAGTAAAAAGAGGGCTTTTCTTGAAGGGATGTGGCTGTGTCACCTGGGCTGTTGTGTCACCTGGGCTGTTGTGTCACCTGGGCTGTTGTGTCACCTGGGCTGTTGTGTCACCCAGGAGCTGTGGGGATCCTCACTGCACAGTGACACAGGTGGGACCCACGGCTCAAGGTTTAATTCCAGAGAAAACTTCTCTCTTCAGAGCCCTGTTGGTGGCTGCTGGGAGAAGGAGACATTTTTCAGAAATACTCTTAGATCAGTGAAGTATAAAAAGCCCTTTGCATCCTTTTTTTCCTCATCAGTGTTTCTGTCAAGGGCAGTGGAACTGTACTTAAAAGTGGAAGTGATTACAAGCTGTGATTGCTCAGGTATTCCTGAATGATCCAATAGTTAAGAGACAGTAAAAATGCTGTYTTCTAAATGGGGATTCAAACTTTACCCAGCTATGAAGAATTGCATCATTACAGGATGTTTGTAAAGGGAAATGAAATACATTTGTAAATATTTCCAATAAATTAAGTTTATTTATGCATAGTTCATCATGATAAGTGTCATGAATGGGTGATAAGCCTTCAAATACCAGATTTTAGCCTGTAGGTTAGTAAGTCATGTGTTTAGGAAAACTTTTGTTCTTTTACAGGAGCCTTATTGTCTCTTATTTTACTTTAATGGTGCGCCATTTAAACATATTTTATTTTTTTTTTTTTAATTTTTTCCTGTTTTCTCTAAGGTGAGTTTTAAACTTCCCTGTTTTACTTGCCTTCTCATTTGTAAAAAGTGTTGCTGTTGCTCATAGATGAGTTCTTAGCATTTGATTTTCCCAGTGGCATCTCCATTATTATTCCAGCTATTTTCCTCTCAGGATTTAAAAGCTGAACTGAATCAAAACTCTGGGGTCTGTTTTTTGGAAGAGGGTGTCCATATTTTGCAGRATTAACACAGTATTTGCATTTCTTCTGGTTTCCTTATTTTTCATAGTCTCTGTGTTTTCTGAGAGGCAACACTGAATTCCTTAGGTTAGGGGTTTTTTTTTGGGAGGTGTTTATTTTTTTTTTTTTTTGGCATTCCTAGTCCTAGGTTCAGCTTTGCTTTACAGGCCTCATGAATAATCTTAATATAATTGTGCTGTAATTATTAGTAGTTTTCAATGCCTGTGAGTAATGCCAAGTTGGCTCCTTTCTGGGTGGGTATTTTGTGTCTGTTTGCAGTACAGGCAGGAATAAACACTCTGGTTTTTCCTCTCATCCCRGCTGAGCCACCCTTTCCTGTGGGGAATCCTGTCCTGCACCACCAGCAGTTGGGATCCAGAGCAAGGAGGCAGGGTTTGGGCTCTTGGTTGAAGTTTTTTGAGTTTAGGTGTGACTGAACTTGCTGAAATCTACAGAGAAAACAACTGAAGTCGCTGGCTGATTTGGGTTCRGAAGGTGTCCAAAGTCAACCCTTTTGGAGGGAGCCAGTTTTGGTTCAGAGTAAATCACAGTCCTTGTGCCCGAAGCCATCCTGTGGTCTGGGAGCAGTCCCTGACAGCCCTATTGCCTGCCATCCTTTGGATCCTGGAACATTCCCTGACACCCCTGTTCTGTGCCATCCTTTGGGTCCTGGGGCATTGGATCGTGGAACATTCCCTGACACCCCTGTTCATCCTTTGGGTTCTGGAGTATTCTCTGACAGTCCTCATCCCTGCCATCCTTTGCTCCCATTTCATCCCTGGCATCCTTTGGGTCCTGGGACATTCCCTGACAGCCCTCATCCCTGCCATGCTGTGCTCCCAGTTCATCCCCTGCCATGCTGTGCTCCCAGTTCATCCCCTGCCATGCTGTGCTCCCAGTTCATCCCCTGCCATCCTGTGCTCCCAGTTCATCCCCTGCCATCCTGTGATCCCAGTTCATCCCCTGCCATCCTGTGATCCCAGTTCATCCCCTGCCATCCTGTGATCCCAGTTCATTCCCTGCCATCCTGTGCTCCCAGTTCATCCCTGACACCCTTGTTCCCTGCCATCCTTTGGGTCCTGGAGCATTCCCTGACACTCCTCATCCCTGCCATCCTCTGCTTTCTGTTCATCCATCACATTCCTCATCCCTGCCATGCTGTGCTCCCAGTTCATCCCCTGCCATCCTGCAATCCCAGTTCATCCCCTGCCATCCTGCAATCCCAGTTTGTTCCCTGCCATGCTGTGCTCCCAGTCCAT